AAAAAGCATAGGTCACTTCAGTCCAGTTTTGTCCTTTGGGCAGCAATGCACCTTGAACGATTTGAAGAGCTTAGTGGCTCGTTGAAGAACTGCCAAGAACTTGGCAGAAGTAGTTAGGGTGCCAAAGTGGACATGGAAGGCTTACTAATTAGTTGAAGAACTTCATTCTCATTTAAGTGCCCTTAAACACAAAAATAAAAAATGGAGGGCTTCCTGGATGTTAATAATTGCTCCACAGCAAACAACATTTACAAGATCTGGTCAATAAGGACCCCATGCAATCACTTACCCAGTATAGAGGCTTGCAAACAGAAAACACCTCAGCGAAATTCCAATTAAGCATGTTTTAACCAAACCCATATATTACAAATGAAGACCCAGTAAAGATAACACAATGCAATTAAGAAAGGAGTAATTTTGGAATAAACCATTAAGTAAGGTCTCTGACAAAGCTGAAAGTGAAGGCTACTTACACAGTTGAGAGCAATTGCACTAGGCTCTCCTATTCAAAGAAACATAACTGCAAGTCAGAAGAAATTCACTTTGGGTTTCTAATGGTAGGGAACATTGTGATGAAACACAAAGCCTTATGAAAACATGTACTATAATCTAGAAACAATAGAGGTTTCAATCACTCGCAGTGGAATGCTTACAATCAGGTAAGACTAAGACAGAAAATGCTCTGTATTCAGCAGCAGGATTTCATGGTGAATAATTCTATGGATTTAGAAAGCAAATCTGTAATGGATTCTGCAAATCCTGCTGCCAGCAAGATTCTTTCTGGAATGTGATCAAGCTGTGAGATGGCATTTTTTTTGCTCAAGGCTTTCTGCAGCTTTTTAAAACAAGAAAAAAAAGGGACTTTCTCATTTTATGGCAGGCATGAGGGAGGAACTACAAGTCCCAGAATTACTAATAGGTTATCCAGGTTGTTCAGAAGAACAGTTTTCACATCCTTATGTAAGGCTGCAGTTCCATTCTAGCTGCACTTGCAGACTACCTGTCTTGCATAAGACGGATGAGGATATTCATCCTCACTCATATCAAAATGACACATCCAGTCAACTGGATGTGGATCAAACAAATGCAATGTTATGCGGATTGGGATATGCATCCAATAATGCATCCTGCCCTCCTCTGTTACACACAGAAAATTGTGTTAAGATTAGAGAATGTGAATTAATCAAAGCAAGATTATCCTTCATACAACCTGAAAGATATGGCCTCCTTTTTCTTTAATATTTAGGGTTGTATGCAGACTTAGCTGCACTTAGTAGACCTACTGAAATCAATATCTCTCTTGAGAACCACTGATGAGTCTACTCTAAGTATGAATAATCTTGGATCCAACCTGAAATGTTTTAACTTTTCAATTGGAAATGCAAGGATTTATAGGATAAGCATAACGGAAAATAATTGAAGAACTTGAGGCATTCCCGTATGAGGACATAAATGTGGAACATATATAAAAGGTGATGATTCCATTTTATGATTATGCTCATGTACTTTTATTAGTCATTGTTACACCTACTGGAATGGAAAGGTGTACTTGTTAATGATTCTGCATTATTTGGGGGAAATATGAGCAGCTCTAACCTTCCATTTTGGAGGGCACTCATTCATATGGTCACCATAAGTTGGAGACAATTTGATGGTAGGTAACAACAACATGGAAACTGAAAGGTAGCACACTGATGGGCCAACATTTGTATAGGAGGCCAAGTGGTAGAGCCCATCTGACAGCCTCTTGCAATAACAACACAAACATCCATTTGAACACAACTCTATGACAGTACATGGTCTAAACTGTCTCCATCCCTTCTACCATGAAAATACATCATTGCTGAAATCACGCACATTGTCTACAAAAGCCTGATCAATTCAATTACTAAGCCAATTAGAAGTTTTCTTTATGTGCAGTTGATAATCCATTTGATCAGGGTGAAAGCCAGGGTTTATTTACATAATAATAACTGACTCCATTAACCAGGCATGCACCTCAATGTTTTTTCAAGTCCTCAGTTAAGATTAGTATAGATTACAATACAGTATTGTACATAGCAAATTGTGGATTACACATACTGAACTGGTTCAGCATTACAGGACACCCTAAAGTTGGTAAGTAGCCACATCATGTTGTCCCAGCTCAGACTATGTATTAGGTATTCCTCCCCACAACAGGTCACCACAAGAAACCATGGGCTGTTTTAGAGGTTTAACACACAGTACATTGCCATGTCATTCCAACCCAGGTAACAGATCCCACTGCTGGCCGTGGGAAGCAACAAGCTACTAAGCAAAAGCAGCAAAATAACAACAACAATAAAAAACTACACACACACCTCTTGTCACTTTTGGGAATTTTGCCCAAGCAGCATACTGGAGCACGGCCACTGAATGAACACCTCTTTTTGTCTAAATTGTGCCAAAAATGTGTTTATTTGTGTGTGTGTGGGGGGGGGTGTAAATTAGTATTAGTATTTTAGTTTGGGCTTATGCAACTAGGGAGCTGTGCAGTTCTGTGGATCTAAAAATGAGCAATGACTTGGAGAGTATTAGTTGTCAAAGTATAGCAGGTACTAGCTATACTAGAGGGTCTAAATTCACCCCCTTTCTCCTGACTCCTGTTAAATGGCAGCCTGTCAAGACAGAGCTGCAGGTGATCTTGCTCACAAAATTTTTTTCCTCCCTTTGCCATGAGATCTGAAATCAGCAAACTACATTTCAACATGCTTGTTTTCAAAGAATCCCCCATCGGTGGCAATCAAAAGCAAGTATTAGTGAAAGATGGGATATATACATAGCATCAGGAGTGTGTGGAAAAGCTAGGGGCACTGGAACCAGTGGGGGACATACTCTTCAGAAGAGGCAACCAAGTAATGATAATTCCTCCAAAGTGCTGCTGTTCATGATGTCCAAAAAAGGTGGGGAGAAATAGCTGCAGGGAGTGAGAAAGGGCTCACTATCCTGGCGAAGACAGGAGGAGAAGTTGCTTCAAGTTGCCAACTCCCTGGGATACTGGCTGAATGACCAAGGGAGGAGGAGGAGGAGGAGAGCCTACAGTGAGGCTGACTGACCACTGGGCATATCATAGGGTTGCTCTCACAACAACCAGCAGACAGTGGCTAATTGCCAAGGTGGATTAGCATATGTGGCCCCATCCACTGTGGATGATCTCACTTTCAAGCATCAGGATCATCTGAATGTTGAACGAGGAATCTTTAGGTTTTTGTCCAGTTGAACCACTGGATGGTATGCAGCAGCCTATGCATGGCTAGCCCTGCCCACCCAGGTGGCTATTGGATCTTCCAGGATAGGAAGGAATATGAAGCTTCTTATTCCACTTAAGCCTTGCTTAAACAGCAAGATCTTTTGCATTCATTGATCTATTATTCTGTCCTGACTACTGTTGTATCCGCTGGGACCTAGTTTCCACCTTCAGTTTCCATTTCAGACCATTGTCCGCAGCCCAGTCCTGACGCTGAGAATGAAGCAAATAAGCCAGTGGGATTGTCCCTGTTTGTTTCGTTTAAAAGATGGGAGGGACATATCGCTAGCAACTACACATTTTGGGATGGACACTAAGGCCAGCCAAAATTTGTGGCCTCCTGGTCTTTTTTTGTGTGCATTATTGCAGGCTTCCCAGTTTTGATGACCCTGGGCAGCCTCTAAAACCACCGTTGGCTATCAGTTGCTCCTGCTAACACAACCCGAAGCTCTTGTCCGATAATGCAACCAGAAACTAGCTCCATCTAAGAACAGGAAAGCTCAGGAAAGCTCACAGAAATGAGTTCCACTGACTTGTCCTGCTCTGAAAGCATTAGTCTGAGAAGCTTCCTGAAAGTATCTCAGACCTTTCACTTTCCTATCACTATGAAGCATTGCCTCTTTTTCTATTAACAGATATGCCCACTAGTACAATGTAATGGGTGTTAGAAGACTGCCAGCTCTTACAGGACACTCACTGAAGGTCTGTTAAACATAATTTTGAAAGTGCAATTATGTTTTAGTATTTAGTAACTAAAGTATTTAGTTACTTTCAATAAACACATTTTAGTTTTACTATTGGCAATTACTGGTGAAAAATATGAAAATTCCATTCCAAAGGTAATGTTTTTCTCTCCTAGCTTCAAAAGCAGAGCAAGCCTTAGTAGCAGGCTTCTTCCCAGGAGGATTTTACAGGATTGATCAACTTGAATATATGTGGAACTTGTGAAACCAAATGTAAGAAGTGGGAAGGAGTTATTTATATTCCCAAGAGTAGATGTAAAATGGTTTTGATAATATGGATAAATATACTTTTGTGTTCCACAGTCAGTTTCTCTGGGCCAGGAAGCTAGAGGGCTTTGTAAAACTTTTTAAAATACACATCCACCCCCAAATCTTGATATTATTTTGGACATTTTTTGAACACAGAAGCAATACCACACAACATAATAGAAAGTGAGGCATATTATCTTGTTAATGAGGAACCACATTTTGTCTCCAAATTAGCTGTACATGGAATAAAATTATCCATATATATATATCTCCCTCATCCATCTCACAAGGGTATTGTAAAACTTATCTAAATAAATTCTGTAAAGCACTTTGAGATACTTGGGTGAGACCAACTCTGGATGGAAGGCATTATTGCTATATTAAATCATGACACATCTGCATTCTTATATGGCAGCTTATGAAGAATGACAGGCAGATGCATATTTATTTCTACTCTGTTCTAAGTTAAGCACGTTGATGATGTTGTTTTTGTTATCCTTTCCTAATCTCTCAGGGTTGGTGGGGAGGAGGGGATATGCTAGGATGTGAGGTAGTGGGCTGACTTGAGGGAAAGCACAAACTTGTTCGTAGTTAATAAAGATACAGACCACAGGCATCTATGTGAACACTGCCTGGCTGTTTCAGTTCACACTGATTAAGTTTAAAATATACTCCACATTTAGTAAGCACAAAATAGCAACATTCACACTCTGTCAAGGGCAAACATGTGAAGGCCTCACCGTTTAGTCACTTTTAGCATACGACTGGAGAGATCATCTGAACAGACCAATCCAGGAGTAGTGGGAAAGGCAAAGAGACCTACATTAGACACAGGAAGTAAGATACCTTTAAACCTTTCTGGTCTGGGACAGGCAGAAACATAGAGCATAGTTTACTAACAAACAAACATTTGGCACAGGAAGAGCAATGCTGATCTGCTCAGGGGGACAGAGAGGCAGCACTCATTTACAGAGCTGGGCAAGCTCCAGTTTGTCTTATTAAAGCACCATTTTACAGAGCAAATTTGGTTTTGCCACTGAACACTCAACAGGGAGCTGCAACTAGTCAGTGCCACAGAGAGAGGAGCTGCCTATGTGTGCTTGCAAACATGTATCCCTACATGCTGGTACCAGCTTAAGCATGAAGTGGCAAGGCATGATAGCGTTAGCCATGCCCAATTGTCCCTTGCCCCCAGCTTCTTGTAATCCAGGATATTGTATCCAAACACTGAGAGTTCAGTTTCAGTTATTACAAATGGCCATTGGTAGACTTATTCTCCATGAACATCTTTGATCTTTTGTTTACAGTCACTGTAGTAGCCACTGCAACATCATTTGATAATGAAACCCTTCAGTTGAGTGTGTGCTTACTGATTAACAGTGGACTCAATGCAGAACAAAGGAAATGTACTAAGGAAAGAGGTTGTTGTTCAATTTCTAGGGGTGTTCACAGTTTTCCTTCCAACAGAAGAAACATCCTTGCATGGACAGTAATCTTGATCTTACTCAATAATCATAATTACATAGGCAGCTGATTGCACATGCATAAATGAATTTTGGGGATTTTTATCTAGAGAAACATGTGCTTGCCATGTTATACTAACATGAAGTGACGCTTGCTAAGGGCTCAAATTTTGTTTGACCTTTCATTCTGGCTTGCATGAATAAATGAACGGGATTGTTAACAGAATGGATTTTAGATTTTAGTAAGAGTACAGAAAAGAATTAAAATTTTAACAGTGTAAAAGGTCACTTGAATTGCCAGCATCCTATACCAAAAATCAGAATGATAACCCCAAAAGTATATAACTACAATATTAAATTCTAAGAACTAAGAACTTTATTAACATTTGAATGCTTTATTTAGGTGAAACACTGAATAAAACCTTTGTGATTTATACACATTCAAGGTCTGGCTTTGAGAAACTACTAGAATCTATCATAACTAACTTTCTCTGAAATATACTCAGCTAATCGGGTGTTGGTTTAAAAAATCTAGCACCATTAGAAGTGCGACAGAATGCACTGTACAGGAAATGACACAATCTTTTCAGAGACTTTAGCACCCCAGAAAGAAGGTTATTAGGTTGCCATCCTATGTGCACTTCTTGGGAGCAAGTCCCTTTGGACACATGGGGCCTTGATTCTGGGTAAGCATGAACAGGACTGTGTTGCTTACGGAAATTATTTCTATTCCTTGCTTTTGATTGCAGGGTTCAGAGAGGCTTGAAGAGTCACTTTCACTGAGGCCAGTTTGCCAAATCCAAAACTCAGAGTATATCTCATCAGTGAGCTCTCCTCACATGAGCAGCATTCAAAGTCAAGAATGCTGTGGGCTGCGGAATCATCAGTACGCTGATGATACCCAGCTCTACCTCTCGTTTTCCACCAATCCAGGTGAGGCAGTGGCTGTGCTGAACCAGTGCCTGGCCGAGGTAATGGGCTGGATGAGGGCCAATAAACTGAAGCTCAATCCAGACAAGACGGAGGTCCTGTTGGTTGGCGGATCGGGCTTCGGGGAGGGTGAATTGAACCTAGTCCTGGATGGGGTTGCACTCCCTCTTAGGGACAAGGTTCGCAGCTTGGGAGTGCTCCTCGACCCGGAGCTTTCGCTGGAAGCTCAGGTGACAGCAGTGGCGAGGAGTGCTTTCTTTCAGCTTCGGCTGATCCATCAGCTGCGCCCCCACCTGGAATATGACTGCCTGGCGACAGTCACACACGTTGGTGACTTCCCGCCTTGACTTCTGTAACGCGCTCTATGTGGGGCTACCCTTGAAGACGGTCCGGATATTTCAAATGGTTCAAAATAGAGCTGCCAGGCTGCTGACAGGGACTGGGCGTTATGTTCACATGACTCCAGTCCTCCGTCAGCTTCACTGGCTTCCCATTGAAGTCCGGGCCCAATTCAAGGTGTTGGTGATGACCTATAAAGCCCTAAACGGCTTGGGCCCTGGTTACCTGAAGGAGCGCTTACGTCCATATATGCCCGCCCGCCCGCCCCTTGAGATCTGCGGGAGAGGCCCTTCTCCGGGAACCCTCCGTGAAGGAAATTAGGAGGGTGAGTACTCGGAGGAGGGCTTTCTCTGCGGTGGCGCCCAATCTATGAAATGCGCTCCCCAGAGAGGTCTGCCTGGTGCCGTTGTTATTTGTTTTTCGGCACCAGGAGAAGACCTTTTTATTCAAATGTCATTTTAATTGTTAATAGTATTTATTCTTTTTATTCTTTGGCCAGGGCGACTTAACTTATACTGTTAATTTATATTATTTCATGGAAGTTTATTTATGGATGTGAGCCGCCCCGAGGCTTCGGTGAATGGGGCGGCATAGAAGTCTCCTAAATAAATAAATAAATAAATAAATAAATAAATAAATAAATAAAGACAGCATGCACTATACCAAGGCCATAAGACAATACAAATGTCCAATAAGATACACTTCTCCATTTTAAACTACAGCAAGGAATCAGTACACTATGCAGCAAGGGAACATTGCTCTAATTAGGTGAAGCCAGAGAAATTGTCAATGGCCACCCACTGAGTTGACTTTATCTAGGAAGATACACAGGTTCAGGAAGCAAAAGGCTGAAATCTAACCATTGCCTACAGCAGCCTTCTCTAGCTTAGTGCCTCCCAGATGTGCTAAGCTACAGTTCTCAGCCTCTCCCAGCCATCATGCTGGGAGTTGCAATCCAACACATCTGGAGTGCACGAGGCTGGAGAAGGCTAGCCTAAAGTGATCTCTTTATTTTAGGTTTCTGCTACCTAACAGAAAAATGAGTGGCTTTTTCTTTCCTCAGTTTGCAAGACTGAGATGGGGCCTGCCTAAAGTAAGGTCCATGTGTGCGACAGACTGATACAATGTGGAATACAGTAGTTTCAGGGCAATAATCTACCAGAAAGAAAAGACGTCCCTTCATTCAAACCAGCATCTTGGCCACTGCCCTCAAAGCTGTTTTTTTCCTCCCAAATCTCAGTTGCCTGCATGCAAAATGCAATACTCCTTGAGGAATATGGTGGCACAGTTGGAAGGCAATGTTAAATAGCATGTGCTACTGTTGTTGCTTTACTAAAACAAGCAAGTGCCAACTTTGAGCCAGTTAACACCAGAGATGGCAATGCTGTCAGTTTGGCTCTTATGTCGGCAAGTGGAACCACACTGAGAGGATTTTCATAATTTACTGTTGTGCGGCAGGCAAGGGGGTGGTGGTAGAAATCTGGGTGTATCTGTCAAAGCCCCTCCTCCTCACAGCCTCTTAAAAGTTTTGTATGGCACAGAGCAATCTGCAGTGACTGCCTTGTGCCTGATTCACATGTGATTTCCATATGGAGTAATATTAATTAACCTCTTGCACGCACTGACCTGGATTATGCAGCTGCCATTCTGCACCATCTATCATTCCTAATGCAGCAACCAGCTCAGATTAGTAGAAGTACCTAATAAGCTTGCAATGCATAAGGTCTCACATAGGTGCTGCAAATGCTTGCAAAGGGGGATAACAAGCCTGGAGTAAGTCCGTTCAGCAACTGTACAGTGCTAATTAATATTTGGGATTTTGAAACATAAATCAGACATGCTTTGAAGCATAAGACAGTCATTTAATAGGCACTGCCACAGGCATTGCTTGGTCTTTGTACAGCTCCTACGCTAGCAGCTGCATTCAGGAGAACTGAAGGGCATTGTTACCATTCCTGGAAGCCCTCCCCACTTCACTCAGATTTTCGGCCCTTGTCATTTAGTTACATTAGAATATTGTAGGCACAATCATGTAAGAATATTATAAAATGTAAGTGCTGTCACCTAAAAGGAATGCAACTCCCTGAACTGGGAAAGACCTCTCCCCTAAACCTTGGAGACCCATTGCCAGCCACCGTAGGCAGCACTGGGCTGATAGGTCAGCGGATGTCAGGCAAACTCTTTGGGTTTAAGGGTATACTGGTAAGTTCAGGCTACCCAAGTTGTGCTTGTACAACCAAATGTTATGTACCCTTCATAGAGACTGCATTATGTGAGACGCTTCCCACACAGTTCAGCCAATTTAGACACTTGGGTGTTAGGACTGTATGGCAGAAATTGGTTGAGCTGTATGTGAAGACTCTTCAAGTGCCTCCCACACAGTCAGATGGCTGTGTAACAAATAGCCAGCCTCATGGGCCACACACCACCCACACACAAGGCTCTTCCACAGAATGGAAGGACTTCTCACTGGCCAAGGCAAATCTCAGTTAACTGCAGGAAAGACTATTCAAGGGATGCTGAAGCAACCTGAGGTGCTTTATGACAGATAAGAACTCCAGGGATGGATTTGTTCAAGCAAGTCCTTCTCTTAATTCCATTTTTGCCAAGAATAGGCTAAGCTTCAGAGTTGTTGTTGTTAGTCACAAAGTCGTGTCCGACCCATCGCAACCCCATGGACAACATTCCTCCAGGCCTTCCCGTCCTCCACCATCCCCTGGAGTCCACTCAAGCTCATACCAACTGTTTCAGTGACTCCATCTAGCCACCTCATTATCTGCTGTCCCCTTCTTCTTTTGCCATCTATTGTTCCCAGCATTAGGCTCTTCTCCAGGGAGTCCTTCCTTCTCATTAGGTGGCCAAAATATTTGAGTTTCATCTTCAGGATCTGGCCTTCTAAGGAGCAGTCAGGGTTGATCTCCTCTATGACTGACCGGTTTGATTGCCTTGCAGTCCAAGGGACTCTCAGGAGTCTCCTCCAGCACCACAATTCAAAGGCCTCAATTCTTCGGCGCTCAGCCTTCATTATGGTCCAACTTTCACAGCCATACATTGCAACTGGGAAAACCATAGCCTTGAATATATGCACTTTTGTTAGCAGGGTGATGTCTCTGCTTTTTAGTATGCTGTCTAGATTTGCCATAGCTTTCCTCTCCAGGAGCAAGCATCTTTTAATTTCTGGGCTGCAGTTCCCGTCTGCGGTAATCTTGGAGCCCAGGAAAATAAAATCTGTCACTACCTC